TTCCCACCAGCAGTGCAGGAGGGTTCCTTTTTCTCCACATCCCCGCCAGCACTAATTAGCAACTTTTATTGCTGTTCACTGAACCAGTGAGCAGAGATTTTTTAAACAGCATTTCGAGGAGGGATGGGTGTTTGAGGCTCTTTGTGCAAGGGTCTCAGTTCCAACTCTCTCACCTTCTGCCTGCCTAAAGCTATATTGCCAGCCTCCGTGTGAGCATTAGTGCTTTCTCCTCCAAGCCCAGGGCCTGTATTGGAGTTTGAAACCCCTGTGGGCCACCATGGCCTCAACTCCCACTTACTGCTTGGCTTTGATTTTGATGTCTCTTTCATTTCAAGTGTTTGAGAATTTCCTTATTTTATTTTATTTTTAGCTTGGCTATATATTTTTAAAGCATTTTTGTTTTGTTTAATCCAGCATCTCTGTGGGAGAAAAGGTCCATTTACATCAGCTCAGTGTGCCATTTTGCCAAAAGTCTGTTTTTTAGTTAGTTTTCCTGTTACTTTCAGTACAATTTCAACTTTCAACATTGCCAGCTTACATTTATTAAGTAGCCCTTGATCACCCTTGAATGTTTCCTGCCTTAACTATTCACATTCTCCTTTTATTGGTCAAATTTATAACCATGTTTTTAGTATCTGTGTATTGGTAAATACATAATTCTGTTCAGTCTTTTTTTTTTAATTAAATTCTCTTTGTAGTTTTCTTTTTTTATTTTTATTTATTTATTTTTTAATATATTTTATTGATTTTTTACAGAGAGGGAGAGGGATAGAGAGTTAGAAACATCAATGAGAGAGAAACACCGATCAGCTGCCTCCTGCACACTCCCCACTGGGGATGTGCCCGCAACCAAGGTACATGCCCTTGACCGGAATCGAAACTGGGACCCCTGAGTCCGCAGGCCGATGCTCTATCCACTGAGCCAAACCGGCAAGGGCACTGTTCAGTCTTTTTAACCTTGCTTGTAGACTTCAGTCTCCAAGTATTAGGGATTTTTCAGCTATCTTTCTGTTAATAATTTCTAGTCTAATTCCATTTTGGTCTGAGAGCAGAGATTGTATGACTTCTATTTTGTCCAGTTAGTTAAGGTGTGTTTTATGGCCCACAATGTGGTCTATCTTGGTGACTTTTCCATGTGAGCTTGAGAAGAATGTGTAATCTGCTGTTGTTGGATGAAGCAAGTCTATAGATGTGCATTCTATCCAGTTAATTGATGGTGCTGTTGACTTCAACTATGTCCCTATTTTTTCACTATGCCTGTTTTATTCCTAATAAGTTTCCTTGTTTGAGGTCTGCTCTACCTGAAATTAATATAACTATTTCTGCTTTCTTTTGATGAATGTTAGTATGCTATATCTTTCTCCATTCCCTTATTTTAAATCTGTCTGTATACTTACATGAGTTTCTTGTAGACAGCATAGATTTGGGTCCTGTTTGATCCATAATGACAATCTGTGTTTTAATCAGTATATTTAGACCATTGACATTTAAAGTGATTATTGATATAGTTGAATTGATATCTGCCATATTTGCTAATATTTTCTATATGTTGCCCTTGTTCTCTTTCCAGTTTTTGTCTTCCACACCTTTCCACCTTTTTTGTGGTTTTAGTTGACCGTATTACATGATTCCATTTTCTCTCCTTTCTTAACATGTTATACTTTTTTAACTTTTTATAGTGGTTGCCCTATAGTTTGCAATATACATCTATAACTAGTTCAGGTCCACTTTGTATTATACTGCTTCACAGATATGTAAGTGCCTTGTATTAATGAAATAATCCTAATTCTTCTCCCCCATGTCGGTATCAGTTTATCCTGCACGGGTCCCCATGGAGGTTGTCTGTTGGTGGGTTTCTGCTCTCAGGGGCAGTGATTCTCTGTATCTGCCTCTCTGTCTCTTCAGTTTTGGGGGCAGCAGGTTTGCCCTATGACCTCACTTCTCTGGCTGATCTAAGAGTTGTTGATTTTTCAACTTGTTTAGCTTTTTATTTTGCTGTCAGGATAAAATAGTGACTTCTAAACTCCTTACATGCTGGCCAGAAACTGGAACACGGAAGTATTCTACTTCTATCTGCCAGTTCCAAATGTAGAAAATAAAGAAATAATGGTGTGGTTTCATCAAATTGCTTTCCATAAATGTGATATAAAGAGTGAAAAAGCACTATTTTTTAGGAACCAAAAATTGATGGATAAAAGGGAAAGAAAAATTAAGGCAAGAGAATATCGATGACTGAACTACAAAAGGCTTAACACAATTCTCTGTCCTAAGTTTCAATTTTCTCTAAGAAAACCATTTCCAGTCTGTACCTTAAGAGCTTCAACTCTTTTACGTCTCATGTCAGCCTCCTTACTTCTTTGTCCTTCAGAATTATCAGCTGCTTTCTGTAAAATAAATAGAGAAGCAAACCACTTAGGATAGAACCTCAAATTCAGTGCAGAGAATATGAATAAACTAACATCTAACTATGTAAAATGGTAAATTGTTCAATGTAAAAAAAAAAATAATGGAGGAGTAGAAAGGGCATTATCCATAATTCTGCTAACAAAGGCAACCAGTGTTATTTTGACATATGTCTTTCTATCCTATTATTTTTACTATACTTTTTGCTTTATATAAGTGAGGTTACACAATTTTGCTGTCATCATCAGATCCTCAAACCCAAAACTTAACTATCTTTTTCTTGTATTATCTGGATCACCTCACCAAACCAGGAACCTGGGAGTCACACCCATTCAGGCCCTAAATCATGACAGTTACACTTTCTAACTATTTTTGGCTGTCTCTTATCCTCTATTCTATTACTACTTTCCCTAGTTAAAGCCTTCATTGATTTTTCCCTAAGCTCCTGCCAGAATAGAGCCTGTCTCTAGCATTATTCCCCTCAAATTCTGTACAAGTCTTACTTAAAAATGCGTATTTGACCATGTGACTTTCCTGCTTAAACCCCTTTAAACCCGTCAGTGGCTCCTCATTGCCTGTAGGATAATTCCGAGCTCCTAAGCATGGCTTATATCTCTCTGACCAGAACCCCTGCCTGCCTCTCCAGATTCATCTCCTGACACTCCCTGTCCCTGCCTTTCCACTATCACAGAACTCCTTATAACCGCAGCTCCCTATCCTCCTCCCTCCATTTTCTGATGTGTTCTTACTTGTGTGCCTCATACAGGCTTCCCTGCTAGGAATGCCTTTCCCCCCCCCCCCCACTTTTTTCACCTCATCAGTATTTACTTATTTATTGACAGGTCAGCTGCTAGCTCCTACTCAAAACCTTACTCTAATTCCTGGACTCCCCTGTCCTCCAAACTGGGTTTCTAAGTGCATTCTCTATCCTTGCATTTTCTTCCATTCATTTATCCATTTCACCAACTAACCAACAATAATTGTGTTAGGCAGAATTTTAAGTACTAGGATATAACAAATGATAAAAATAAATAAATAAAGGTCCTTCCATAATGGAGCTTACATAATAAACAGTTAAAATACAGTATGTCACTATGTGATAAATTCTATGATGAAAAATAGAGTAGGAGGGCTGGGATGTTCTGGGGTTGGAGAGGAGGTTGCTATTTAAAGAACACGATCAGAGAAGGCCTCACTAATAATATAGCCTTTGAGCAGAGACCTGGTGGAAGGGAGAGAGGGAGCCATGCACGGATGTGAAGAAACCTTGAGGAGGAGCATGCCCAGTGTTCCAGGATCAGCAAGGAAGGCAGTGTGCTTAGAGCAGAATGGTGAGGGGAGAGTGTAGATGACGCTGGAGAGCCAATGACAGCCAAATCATGAAGGGATTGTAGGCTTTTGGCTTTTACTGAGAGACTCCAAACTATGGAGGCTTTTTGCAAACAGATGACAAGATGACGGCTATGTGCTAAGAAGATCAATCTGACTACTGGGTTAAAAGTAGGGTAGGGTAGGGGGAATGCTAGGAAGGGGCAGAGACAAGCTAGGACACTGTTGCAATCATCCAGATAAAAGGTGTTGGTGGCTTGGACTGACCAGAGTACAGCCAGTGGAGGTGGTGGTAAGTGATTGGATTTTGGATATATTTTGAAGGTGGAGCCAACAGGATTTATAAAGGATTGGATAGGGAGTATGAAAAGAAACAGGGAAACAAAGGTTTTTAGCCTGAACAACCAGAAGGACAGAATTGCTGTGAAGTGGGGAAGATGGCAGGAGAGTTTTAGGTGTAAGTTGAAGAAACCTGTCAGGCCTCCAGTTGAAGATTTGCGTGCCTAGTTGAAGGTGTGCATTGGGAGTTCCGAGGAGAGGTCTGAGATGGAAATACAAATCGGAAAGCTGTCTGCATTTAGAGATTTCACACTTAAGGAATCAGATGAGAGAGAAGAGCGGAGGTGAGATGGCTGAGTCCTAAAGCACTCCAACTTGAGAGGTCAAAGTGATACAGAGGGCATCTGACCAGAGGAAACTGAGAAGGCTAGTGAGGTGCTAGGAGAACCAGAGAGCAGGAGCAAGTGGAAATGCACTTACTAGTTAGAGGGAGGCGCAGTGGTGACTCATGTGCAATGTTGCCAGTAGGTGGGATAAGATGAGGACATTGTGTTATAACTGTCTATATATTTGTCTCCTTCAGTTGGCTGAGAACTCATGGATAGCAGGAACACATACAGCTTTGAAGGCAGTGAGATATGGGCATGCCATTTAATGGCTGCTTTCCCTTCGGCTGGTTCTCTCAGCCCCTTGCATTTCAGTCTCCTCTGAAAACGGGGAGGATGTAGTATCTTTCCCGTAGAGTTGTTGTGAGGCTTAAATAAGATCATGCAGGTGAAGCACTAAGTATAGTCCTGTTCATGCAGTTAAACACATGATAGTTATCAGCACTATTAATTTTGTATACCTGGCTCAGTGCCCCTTCATATTAAGCAGCATTTGTTAATGAATGAATGAATGGCCTTTTGTTGGTTTTGTTTTAATATTTCATTCAAGGCACTTCCCTGTGTGTTGTGAAGTATTAACATGGCCTTTTGGGGTTTCTCTAGGATCTAGCGCTGATCCTCACAAAGCAGGTTCTGGAAGAAGAGAGGAAGAGACGGCCTCGCGGCAGAGCCGATCCGATGGAGCTCCCCAACTACAGCCGGCAGCTGCTCCAGCAGCTCTACACACTGTGCAAGGAGCAGCAGTTCTGTGACTGCACCATTTCCATTGGGACCATTTACTTCAGGGCCCACAAACTTGTCCTGGCCGCTGCCAGCCTCCTCTTCAAAACCCTGCTGGACAACACAGACACCATCTCCATCGATGCATCCGTGGTGAGCCCCGAGGAGTTCGCCCTCTTGTTAGAGATGATGTACACTGGCAAACTACCTGTGGGCAAGCACAACTTCTCCAAAATCATCTCTTTAGCCGACAGCCTCCAGATGTTTGACGTGGCTGTTAGTTGTAAAAATCTCCTGAGTAGCCTTGTAAACTGCTCTGTGCAGGGTCAGGTGGTGAGGGATGTCTCCGTGCCACCCTTGGAGTCATTCAGGAAAGAGTCGGAGAAGCCTGAAGTAGAAGTCCTTTCTTCAGAGGGTGCGGGAGAGCCTCCTCCTCCCCGGGGGGTTCCACCCCGGTGAAGGCCGAGACGCAGGAAGCCGTCCCTACGGTTGCACAAGAGATGAGTGTGGGGCCTTCCCCTGCCCAGGAGCTTCAGGGGGATGCAGACGCGCCAGTGGAGACTCCTCTCACTGCGGAGGTCTGTCCTTCCTCCCCTGTTGTACAAGCCTCCAGTGAGGCAAAGGAGGCCAGCACAGAACCAGGTAATGCACGTGTAATAGTTGTTTTGTAATCTATCCTCCTGTCGTCAGTTACTGGATTCAATGACCTTTATGAATTTTTTTGTTTCATTGATAAATTTACCAAAGACCACTGTTAGATGGGATATAAAAATCAATACATTACTCCTACCAGGGCATTCTTCTTGTAAAAGTATCTGTGTTTGTGAGTGTTGAAAATCTGAAGCTGAACTACAGAGCAGAAAAGCAATATTGGAATAACAGTGCACCATTTTTTATACTTGCCCATTACTTTAACCAGGATGAGGATGGCACAAAGAAGGAAGATGTTAGAAACACCGTTTTCTATTTATTACTCATAACTGGTGTGCTGCATTACTCACAAATGCAGTCTATGACCTGAAGCTTCTCAGCTTAAACTTTTAAAAATCATTTCAAGTAATGAATCACTGATTTTTTTATTTTGTTTTACATTCAGAGTATGAGACAAAACACTCGCAGATGAATTTTCTTCTAGAAAATGAAAGTATCTTCTCTGACGCACTCTTGGTTACCCAGGATGTTTTAAAAAAACTAGAGGAATGTTCAGAAATTAAAGGTATACAGAAGGAGGTAGGTACTGAGTCTTACTTGCTAGTTTCGTGTTCTCTCTTAGGGTACCAGATCCGCTTCTAAAATAGGACAGAAATATGAAAATGCAAAATCCCCCAGAGTTTCAATTTTTTCAAACTATTTTTTTTTACGTTTATTCCCTAAAGGGCAGTGTTGCAAAAGTATTAGGCAAGATACTTTCAAAACAAAATTGTATTTTGATTAACAGGTGAATTCCACCTTATAACTAATTTTGATTCTTAAGTGATTATAACATTCCCTCCGGTACAAAAAGGATGTAATATAAACTTACCTGGTAAATTGTATCCAATGTTTAGGACTACAATGGCCATTTTCAGCTATCCAAACAAGAATGGTGGACATTTATTGAACATTTAGTATGCTATGTTTGGAGCATGTGTTATCTCATTTAATCCTCACAAAAATCATCAAGGTGGATACTATGGTATTTTTTAGCCTTGTTTTATGGATGAGAAAACTATCTTAAGGAGATGCTGTAACTTGGCCAAGTCACAGAGCTTGTGAGACTGAGCAAGAATTCAAACTAAGCATTCTAACTTTGAGCTGTTCTCATACATGTTGAGTTAATACTGCCTCCCAAAGAGTAAAAGTGCTGTGTGTATATCATCTATCTATAATAATAAAAGCGTAATTAGACCAGATGACCTTCCAGAGGAAGCTGGGGCTGCGGGGCTGCAAGGGAAGCCCACGTCCCCGGTGCCAGAGGGAAGCCAGTGCTGGCAGCCGGGGAAAGGAAGGCCTACTCTTGCATGAATTTCGTGCGTCAGGCCTCTAGTGTATGTATAAATGTTCAGGAATTAACTGACAAAAAGCTGCCAAATGGTAATCAGGCTCTGTTTCTTAGCCGACCTTTTTTTTCTTCAATTCTCAGTGAGACACACCCCCACCGATAGGATCCCTCAAAACCCAATTCCTCACAACCTTGCAGGGCCACTTTGGAACTCCCCTTGCTTCCCCTTCCCCCAGCCCTCCCTTCCCAGAGGCGCTGGCAGAGGAGAGGACACTGCCCCCCAGGCTTCCTCATCCGATTGGTGGGCAGTGTTGTGAGATCTCCCATGCTGCTGTAGGCGTTTGGTTTTTGTTACTATTAATCCAATAAGTAAATGCCTTCTAATATTTAAATGTATCCCTGATGCATAGTAAATTTTTTTAAAAAAACACAAAGTCAAGGTCAAGTACTTATTTTAACCATGGTTAATCAACAGTTGTCTCTAAATTATTTTCTTAACAGATAAACTATTTACAAGACTGGGCTAACCCTGAGGACTCTCTTAGGGAGGGTTCAAGTTATAAAACCTGGGTATACTTTGAACCAGTTATGCTGAAGGACATTATGGTTTTATGTTTTTGCACTTGGATGTTCTCTTAACTGTTTAATGCATCATTTTGTCACTAGTTTGTTACTTTGATAGCTAGCTATAGTCATACCTCTTTGCTTTTTCTCTTAAGGCTTCCTCTCTTAAGTTTGGATGCAGAGAGCAACATCAAACCTTAGTCAGGAATACTGAAATTATTAATGATACCTCTATACTTCCTTGAATTGTGTCTTAATGCATTTTTTTCCTCTCACTGGTGCCTAAAAGTATCTGGCACATAACAGGTGCTCAAAAATATTTACAGGTACGGACTCATTTAACATTTTCCCCTCCAATTCTTGTCCTAATCTTTTGATGGCAATAGCATTACTGGTACTTGGAAAGAACACGAATCACTGCTGGCGATCATTATAGGCTTATGTTATTACTTCCTCGGTTTTAGAGGTTAGAGTAAGAGCTCTACACACCATTTGGTGGTTGTATTTAAAATTGATTCTGTTATATTCCGTAATAAATCTTCCTGCTGCAGAAAGAAAAAGGAAAAAGATATTTCAGGAACATAAGATTAAATTAAATAAAATAGAGCATTAAGGAGGTACTGCTTTCTTAGGCCCTGCACTTCTCTCTCTTTTTACTTGCTTTTAGACAGCTTTATTGAGGTATGATTAACATATAGTAAACTGCACATACTAGTTAAAGTGTGCGGTTTGACAAGTCTTGAAACCTGAAACCATCACTATACAATCAAGATAGTGAAGAGCCTGCCACTTCTAAAAGTTTTAGTTCCCTTGGTAACCCCTCCTCCTCCTCCTTCCACTCGCCCATGACCAGGTAGCACTGATCTGCTTTCTGCCACTGTAGTTAATTTGCATTTTCTAGAATACTCTAGAAATGGAGTCATATAGTCTGAATTCCTTTGGTCTGGCTTCTTTCATTCAGCATACTTATTTTGAGGTTGCATGTTCATTCCTTTTTACTGCTGAGCAGTGTCCATTGTATGGATATACAGTTTATCCAGCACTTCTAGCCTGTGACCTTGAGCAACTTCATCTAAGCCAGTGGTTCTCAACCTTCCTAATGCCGCAGCCCTTTAATACAGTTCCTCATGTTGTGGTGACCCCCAATTTCATTGTTACAAATTGAACATAATTAAAGCATAGTGATTAATCACAAAAACAATATGTAATTATATATGTGTTTTCCGATGGTCTTAGGCGACCCCTGTGAAGAAGGGTCGTTCGACCCCCAAAGGGGGGGTCTTGACCCACAGGTTGAGAACCGCTGACTAAGCCTTTATTTTCTAATTGGTAAAATGGGAATGTTACCACCTATATCTCAGAATCTTGGTGAAATTAAGGTTCTTTATATGAAAGTGATACTAAAATGCCAGGCACATAAAAGGACTCAGTAGGTGCAACTGTTGTTTGTTATACATTAACACAGCCTTTTTAGACATAGTTGATCTTAAAACCCCCTTTTCACCTCATGCCTTTTTTTTTCTTTTTCCAAAACAAAACACTTTCATCTTAGCTCCAATGACATTTTTACCATCTTTCCCCAAAAACATTTCTAGGGCACAAAATAGATTCATAATTGTTTAATTAGATACATTTTATATATTGTGAACATAATGGCTAATATTTTGTACACACTGTTTTATTTACTGTGCCACATTCATAATACACCAACTTCACCTCATGCCTTTTCATATCCTAGTACCGTGGCCATTTACTCCACACGAGATGGTTTGCTGTCACTTTAGGAATAATTTGCAAGTCATGTTTTCAAATAGGTGCCATTCCCATCTTGGAAGTAGCTTCCTGGTCTGCAGGTATAGTGTCTCATACAAGGCCGTCACCTCTACAACAGTTCAGTGCATATAAAAATCACTGAGGGCTTGTTAAAATGTATACCTCCAGACCACATTTCCAGGGAGGCTGATTCCTAGGTTGTGGTAGAACTTGGACACCTCCCTCTTTAACAACTTCCCTGTGGGATGCTGGTTGGTATCTCTCAACCACATTTTGAGAAGCACTGCTGGAAAATTAATGGCTCACAGTGTCTGAGTGTCTGATGGCAGATGTCACAGTGTCTCTGCTGACATTTCTTAAACTTTTGAGGGGTCACTGAATATCCATTTTTCCCAAGGGTTACTCTTTGCTTTCCTCTTGATTCAGCAAATATTTACTGAGCAACTGGTATGTGTCAGACATTGAGCTGGTTGCTAGGAAAACAAACCTAAGACTAGATCCTATCCTTATAGGATGTCCTAAAAGCAAATCTGCCACGTATGATTTGGGGGGAATGTACACAGAAGCCACCAAACTACAGGAATCACTGTAAGACATCAGTGTTAAATCCTTGGACTGGCTGGCGTGGCTCAGTGGTTGAGTGTCGACCTATGAACCAGGAGGTCACAGTTCGATTCCCGGACAGGGCATATGCCTGGGTTGTGGGCTTGATCCCCAGTAGGGGGTGTGCAGGAGGCAGCCTATCAGTGATTCTCATCATTGATGTTTCTATCTCTCCCTTCCTCTCTGAAATGTATTTAAAAACTAATTTATCCTTAGATGTGTCATTGTAAGACTTGATTTAAGGCTTATGAGCGATGTTCTGGTTGAGGTGGACCAGCCTATACCTTTTCTGAGAAACAGATCCAGGCTGGGGAGCTGGCCTGCATTGAGTTTAGGAAGGACACCATGAACCAGTGTCCTGATTATTTTATTTCCTGAGGTAAATGATGAAAGGTGGCAAAGCCATTCCCTGAGCAATGATTGCGGCAACATGAGAAGAGGCCGGGTTGTTTGAATTATGTGAAACCAAAGCCAAAACTGATTACGGAGAAGTGCGCTGGGTGCTGGGATGAGGATGCGTCTTCTGCCTGTCTTTGTGTTCTGTCCCCCACCCATTAGAAAAAGCAGGAACTGACCTACGAGGCTTTCTGGCTGAGCTTAGTAAAATCTTTATTTAAAGGCAAACTCAGGCCTTTTTTTCAGCTTTTGCGCTCGAACTTTTCATTGTCTTCTTAATTGTGTGTATAGCAAAGTGAGCCTTTCACTAGAATAAAGAGATTCCCTTTTCTACTATTGATTTCCTTGCTGTTTGAGCCACTTTTCACCTAAAGTTCTGGAAAGACTCCCAAAACTGAGAATATAGTAGCATTTTTTTCTCCTTCAGCTTTGTTTCAAAGGCAAACAAGTCTTTTTACCTGTGAGAATCTAATGTTTTCAGCCACATCACTGCTTTGAGGGTTTGTCAGAAAGTGCAGGTCTGTGCTATGTGGACTGTGTCACTGACAGGTAGGCTGACCCTCTTGAAAAGTGGGTTAATAGGATTCACTTTGCAGGTCTATGAGAGATGAAAATACATTTTTTCCCCAGATCTTCTCTGTGCTAATTATCAAGTCTAAGATATGCTGCCATAGACAGAAGGGCTAGTGGTGTTATAGCAAGGAAATTTCATTCAGGTAAGCATTTATTAAGCACCTACTATGTACCAATCTCTACTAATCATTGAGACCAAGTGGAAGGCTGCAGGTTGTCTAGATACTACTACACAGTGTTCACAGTGATGTTGAGTCTAGAAGTCCAGTAGAATCCAGTGTAAATGGATTTGGTCACACTCAAAATCTGGGAGATGGAACTGGGTAAAGAGGGTGCCAGGTCAGTGAGCTCAGTGTTGTTTTTTTCCAGACTCCTCTACTCACTTGCCATGTGACCTTGGGTGGGTTACATCACCTCTCTGACTCATTTAACTAGTCTTGATAATGCCTCCTGGGACTGATGTGTGGAGTAAGTAGATGGCACATGTGCACAGTCTGGGGTGGTCTGTATCATTACTGCTTTCAGCATTTAGGGGTGCCATGAGCAAATAAGAATATAGTGTAACCCAAACAAACCTGAAGGCTAACAGTTGGGAAAACAAGTAAATTCAGTTAAAAGAATTGAGTGTAAGGGGAAGATTAAATGTTTTATCACATATAATTGAGAGAAAGGAAACTGTCTCGTCTTTACTGTACTTACATAAAAATGCTTTGATTACACATGTGACTATGAATTTATATGAATTTACTAAGCTACAGTACCTCTAACTCTAAGAATCAAAGGAGTTCCAAATGTTTGGCTAAAGAACAGAACTCTGTTTTGGTTCATGTCTTGGAGTCTGTTACATGGTAGCAATCAATGAGCCCCAGCCTGTAGCAATATGTGACACCCTTCTGTTGAGGCAGATACACTATTTCAGAAAAGAGCTCACTCCACTGTGGAGCCCCAGGCAGCGCAGGGGGCTGGTGGAGTAACAGTTTATGAACGCTGGCTCTGGTACTGGTCCCCAGTAGGTTCTGGAAGAAAGAGCGGAGAGCAGGGCCATCCAGGCAACTCACTGCTCCCTCCTGGCCCTTTCATCAGCCCACCCCTCCTTCTATTCCCAGATGGTCACCCTAGCGTCACTGCTGAGCAGTGAAGTTAACAAATGTTTTAATTTCACTGCTGAGTAGTTCTGCAGAGGAGGAGACAGCAGAGAGGATAATGAGAAGCACATCAGATGCCACCATTGGTGCAAGCTTCTCTTCCCCAGTGGCTCCAGTGATAATGCCAGACAAATTGGATGCTGAGAAAGGTGGATTTGGGCTATTCCGAGAGCTTCGGGTGCACAAAGCTGGCCAAGTATAGAATGAGATAGCTATATGCCATTTAATTATGATGTGCTAAAGGAAGGGAAAATAAAGAGAAAGAAACATGTTTACTCAGGGCATTAGCGATGAGTGAGTCTCTCTTAGTTATCTATTGCTGTGTAACAAATTACTCTAAAGTTTATCAGCTTAAAAGAACAAACATTTATAACCTCATGGTTTCTGTGGGTCAGGAATCCAGGCCTAGCTTAGCTGAGTCCCTGGCTCAGAGTCTCACAGGGCTGCCCTCAAAGTGTCAACCAGGGCTGCCGACAGTGTCTCTCTAAGCTTAGTCACATGACTGTTGGCCGGCCTCGGAAGAGCCACTTCCAAGTTCACTCACTGATTGTTGGCCAGAGAATTTAACTCTTTGCGCTCAGTCGTCAGCTCACAACATGGCTGCTTGCATCAGAGCAAAGATGGCACACACTTAGGCAAGGTGGAAGTCACAGTGACCTCATCTCAGAAGTGGCATCCATTATCTTTGCCTATTACCTTCCTTAGTTGTTAGGGTCAGCCCAAGGGCATGAGTGCCTGGAGGCAGGGCTATTGAGAACCATTTAGAGGCTGCCTACCTCAGGTCCCTACTGCTATCAGGGAAAAGGCATTCTATAGAGAGTGTCAGCCAGCTAACAAAAACATGAAGGGTTGAATATGTGTGACTAGAGGGGATTAAGCATTCAATTGGTGTCTGAATCTAATTTATTATTTTTAAAATAGAGACAAGATAAGTTCATGGTAGTTACTCTAGTAACCAGCATGGAAGGCTGAAAAGGAGTGGTCAGAAAGTGCTGAGGGCCTTACTTGCCAAACCCAAGGAGCGTGGGGTTCCTGCGTCTGGCTCATCTCTCTTTCTGGGCACTTGTGTTCCGTAGACCATGATGGGATGTCTTGTGGGTGCAGAAGGACATTCAGCATTCCAGAGAATCCTGGATAAAGTAAGAGATGAGAGCCTGGATGTTCCGACGGTTGTGTCCCTGCTGAGGCTGTACCAGGATTCTAATCCTGCAGTGAAGACAGCACTGTCAGGTGGAAAGCCAGAGGATGTGGAAGCCGTGCAGCCAAGAGGTAGGAGAAACCCATCCACCTGGGTCGCCCAGTGTTATTCTGGGCAGATGCTATGAAGTTTGCTCCAGTGATTCATTTCTTCAGTGGCCTAGCTATTCTTAAGTGATTTTCACGTAAATTGTACATGTAACTCCGGAAGCTGCATGTTAAATATGTACAAGCTAAATTGGAGACTCCAGTTCTCTCCCCTCGTGTGCTACACTAGTCTGACACCTGGAGGTTGGAGACTGCCATCAGTGTTCTCTGCCCTTCAAAAAGCCACACACCCTCCTCGATGTGTAGAGCCCAGGGTGAGCTGGTTCGCTGACAGCACTTTTAAAGGCTGCAGCTTGTCTCATTGGGGTTCGGTACAAAGCAGTGGCCTTGCCAACCAGAAGTTAACCTCTGGCTGGCTCTGCGGCTTTGTGTTTCGACAGATAAATGAAACACTTTTCCTTTCATACAATTTAAACAGAATAATAAAGTATTTTCCTCTCCAAAAAGCGAGATTCTGCATTTGGGTCCTCAGAATAGGCCGAGAATCACTTTGCTATTCTGTTAGATCTCTCTTGACAAACCATGCTGTCATTTTCTTCAAATTGACTGGCTTCTCTTGTGCGTCTCTAACTCTTTCTCCCCAGGGGGGAGCACAGGAGCGGGAAAGACCTTGTCCGCTCTGTTACTAGAACACAAAGAGGACCTGATCCAGTGTGTAACCCAGCTGAGACCTATTATGGAGTTCCTGGAAACAGCCACAGAGGAATTCCTGCCCGGCACTGAGAAAAGGGTAACTGTCGAGTGTCTCTCCTCCCTTCTGAATTTATAAAGCACTGTGTTTTTTTAAACTTCTTTTGCGGCATGTAGCAGTTTTTGCCCTGCAGTATTTTTGTACACACTACATAGTAAGCACCTTGAAGTTCAGGTTCTTGATTCATGCCTCTGTATCCTTGCAACAACGGCCTTGTGCATTGTAGTTGTACATTAAATGGGTGGATGGATGGATGGATATTCCTGCTCGGATCAGTGAGTTTTTGTTATAAAATAGTTGTACCAAGAATTGAAGCGTCTAGGTATATTTGTAATTATTATGACACTTTTTCCTCTTTAAAGAAATGATATACTGTTCATCTGTAGAAAACGGGGAAAAAAGAAAAGAAAGGAAAAAATTCAAATATCCCGCCATCCCATCACTCAGAGACGAGCGCTGCTAACCCTGCCTGGCGTGTGCTCCTCTTTTCTCATCTGAGTCATCCTTGCACGGGGTTATCAGACAGTTTTTTAACTGTTTTGTTTAATGTATTGTGAATACATCTCCTTACTACAGTATGGATTTTGGTAGCTGTATTGTACTGTCTAATGGACATACCATAATTCATTAATTCCTTATTGTTGGACATTTGCTCCCAGTATTTTGCTGTTGTAAATGATGTTTCAGAGAACCCCCTGGCACATAATCTTTGCATACTTCTGAAATCCTTTCCTTAGAATAATTTTAGGAAGTGGGATTTTGAAATAGTATAAAATTTTTCAAGTGCTTGGTATATGTTGTCAGTTGCCCTTCAGGAAGGTTATACCGATTTACTCTCCCACCAGCCAGCTACTAAAATCCTCATACAACTGCTGGCATGACTTCTCAAGTCAACTAGATAACTGTATTTGTTGGTGTTATTGATTTCAACTTTGTGCTAAAAATATTTTTATATCTGGAAGGAAGCAATAGGAACAGAGAACTTTTGTGGCATCAATTCTTTGTGGGAAATGGCTTAACTGTTTAGGGGAGAAAGTGTTTACAAATCACTGGTGTGATGGCTAAGCACTGGATGAATAGTGAGACTGGATTCTAGAGTTTCTTTTTCTCAGTAATCTTGTATTGCTAATGTTTCATATAAAATGGGAATAATCTTTAATCTCAAAATTGTGTTTTGCAAATTATTTATATTTTTAAATTTTTAACTCCTTTAAACTTCTTAGAAAAAGATAATAAATACACAAAATAATATTAAAATTAAACCCCTGTTTTATCCTTAGACTTCAGATTAAGTATAATTTCTGGCACTCAAAGTAAGTTGCTTATGCTAGAGGCACCTGATACCCTTAGTGATTCCATTCGATTACTCATTCAAACCTTTTCCTTAATAGCTGAATTGGATGTGTCCTCCGAACTGTTTCATTATCTTGGTAAAACAGCATTGATAGGGAGAGCCCAAACTCAGCCTCATTGTGTGCTGCACGGCAGACCATGCTGTCATTTTCTTGTGTCATTTTCAGTTAACTTGACAGAAAGGGCTGAAGCAGAAGAACTTAAATTAGTAATAAATTACAAAAAACACTTCTTAGGATTGGGGTTCCACCAGAGCCTCATTAAGCTACTCCTTTTCACGAAGATTGAAGCAAAATAATAAAGTAGGTGTGTAGAGGTGAATGTTGATCAAATAGCCGCAGTGGCCCTAACCAGTTTGGCTCAGTGGATAGAGCGTCAGCCTGTGGACTGAAGGGTCCCAGGTTCGATTCCGGTCAAGGGCATGTACCTTGGTTGCAGGCACATCCCCAGTAGAGGGTGTGCAAGAGGCAGCTGATTGATGTTTCTCTCTCATCTATATTTCTAACTCTCTATCCTTCTCCCTTCCTCTCTGTAAAAAATCAATAAAATATATTTAAAACAAACAACAGCAAATAGCTACAGTGTTTTGACATCACGTGGAACATGCACGCAGGCCTTTAGAGCCTTTTTCTGCTATGGAATGATGCTAATCACAGGCACCATGGCCCTTATCTGTACGTATCTTGGGTTCTGCAAAAAATGGGAATAGGAATATCTTCAGGATTGGAAACATACAAAAACAGTAATCATATAGCTGCCATTTACTTACTATTGGCTGTGTGCCAAGAAGTATGCTGAGCACCTTTTAAGTTTATAAACTCTACCTCACAGCAACTTTATGAAGCTATGGACATTACCCTAATTTTAAAGATGAAGAAACAGGCACTTAAGAAGGTTAAGCAGCTCACGCAAAGTCACAGCTGCTTGTAGCCAGTACTGGAACCCAGACTTCTCAACAAAGCACATTCTCTTAGCCACTGTGCATACTGCTGCTAATAATACCAGTAACTACTGTCATTTATTCACAATCACATATGTCCTAGGTGTTATGCTAGGCTCTCCAAACAGCAACTTCATTCTAGACGTCTTTTAAGGATGGTGCAAGAGGTGGTACACTTATCCTTTTTTGCAGATGAAGTAAATAAGGTTCAAAGAATGAAATATCTTGCCCAAGCTCACACAGGCAATAAATTTTGGACCTGGGGTTCAAACTAGGCCTATCTGGCTTGAAAACCCATTCCTACTCTTAAAGTAACTGGTTTCCTCATTGTGTATCAGGTTATTGCTTCGGAATGAAGTGATAGCACTGAGATCAATATGGGTTTTAGATACAAGCTCTTAAATTTTAAATTATGATTCATTTAGTAGAAATCTAAGATACCTTAGACCTTAAAGAGAATGACTATGTGGTGTACTAACAAGGAATATGACAACTTATTTATAATATATCTATTTAATATATATAATATAAATTTTCCTTTGACATATATAAAACCAATTTTTTAAAGTATATTCTTACTGATTTCAGAGAGGGAGAGAGAGAAACATCAATGATGAGAGAGAATCATTGATCGGCTGCCTCCTGCACATCCCCTACTGGGGATCAAGCCCGCAACCCGGGCATGTGCCCTTGACCAGTATCGAACCCAGGACACTTCAGTCTGCAGGCTGATACTCTATCCACTGAGCCAAACCAGCTAGGGCAAACCAACTTGTTTTTATAGCAAAATTAATTATTTTAAACTGGGAATTAATTGGATAGTAGCATCCGCTGGCGTGCTGCTGTGAATGATCTGCTGGACAGTTTCTCCTGAGATCTGGTACTATCCCAAAGGAAAGCTCAAAATTCAGTTACTGTGAACCTATAGATTACATACTGAAATAATCCCCTGCATTATCAGTTCCATAAGAGCCAAGTTATGCATATTGAGTTGTAAATCCATCAAGAAACAGTTCTGTTGTAATAGAAAATATCTGTAAGATAGATGTCATCTGTTTGATTTTTCATCCTTTTGCTTGGGCCCTGTGCACGCTTGACTCAGAACACACTTTAACAGGAAGAACAGATGATGATATGGGTGATGAATGGAGCTGGAATATGAGGCCATTGGGAATGAGAAGGATAGACAGCAAAGAATCCACAGAAAACTAATCCAAAAATGTACTTTAAGTCTTATTTTGGAGGGCACAGACTAATATATAAATTATCTGGGTATTCAAAATGCTATACAAATAAAGTAAAAGGAAGTAAAATAATAGAATTGCATTGAAATTGCAACTTATACCACTGTCGTGTACTTTACTAACCAGAAATTTAAAAACGCTATAACTATTAATTAATTGCCAATCTGTTTCTCAGTCTTAGTGTCTGAACAAACTGAATCTAAAGAATCAGGTTAGATGTAAGCTACTTGCTCTGCCATGTAGGCCCAGTGGAAGAATATTTTCACAAAATGCAAACTGTTGGAGGCAAAGAATGTACACACACCTGCCACTGAGAAAGATTGATTTTCATAGAGCTGTTTGTTGGGAGAATGTTTTGGATTTTTATTGAAGCAGAATAAGGAAGAGACTTTGACAAAAGTAACACTAGAGACCAGCAGAGGGAGGACCCGGAGACAGGGCATCTGGTAATACCAGCTTGCTGGCTTTTCCAGTGGTGCGACAGATACTGCTAGAATTGCCAGTAACTGGTGTCTGGTTGATCGCTTGCCACCGCAGGTGATTCTGAATTGCTGTGAGAGCGGAACACCCAAGGAGACGATAGAAAAGTTGTTGCACAGAATGTCTGAGGAGAGGACCCTGACTGCGGAGAGTTTGGTAAAAGTCCTTCAGGCTGTGAAGATGGCGTTCCCGGACTTGGGCCTCCTGCTGGAGAATTTGCAGAAACTAGCCACTTTGCCGAGCACCCCAGGTATTGTTAATTGCTGGCTCTCTGGACTGGAACCGCTCCTACAGAAAATTAAAACTTAAACACGCTTTAGTGCCATGCTGGGGAGCAAGATAATGTTAAGAAATGCCATTGCAAAACAGGAACTAGCTGTCACAAATCAGTGATCCTAATATTTCTGGAGTTAAGATCTGGAATCTGAGAGTCATTCTTTTCTGTTAAGCTCCCTCATGATGTCCAGTGGTGCAGGTTTCTTCAGGTGTGGCTTTCCCAGGATGTCACGTGTCATCAAATGGGCTCACAAGGCTCACGATTTTGACACATCATGTTAACAAATGTGAGCAGTAAAAACTCAAATCTTGACTTCCCCATTCCCACTGAGTACTGTTTGGTTCCAGCAGCCCTCTCCTGTCCATTCAGTTCGTCCATATTCCATCCTTAGAAAAACACCCACTCTAGCCAGTTCTCCCCTGTCTTAGAGCACTTGAAACTAGATGGTTTTCAGAAAAAGCATATTTGGGAAGTGAGAACTTTTTTTTCTAGCTTTTAAAAGTAATATATACGTATACTGACTTGAACAGTTTTAAAAATAAAGAAAAAACCTAAAACCCTACGATTTGATTATATCGATATTTACACATTGTCATATTTTATCTGTCAATTATTTGTACAGTGTTGAGATACTCTACCAAATGGTATAATTTTTCTCATTTAACAGTATAATATAAACATTCTCCCCCATTACAAAAACCTCCCTATAATCCTGTTTTTTAAGGCTAGGTAGTTTTCATTCATAAGGATGTATATGATGTATTATTCATGCCCTTGTTTGGGTACACATGTAGCATAATGGTTAAGACTGTCAAGACTACTCATTTTGTAGCTGTGTAACCCTGAGCTAGTGACTTAAGCTTTCTGAACCTCATTCTTTCCTCTGAAATAAAGATAAGAAAGATACCTGTCACATTCGTTTTTGTGGCTACCATGAGATTATATATGTAAAGCATTTAGCACAGTGCCTAGCATATAATAGGCACTCATAAATAAATATTGTTATTATCTTCATTGTCATAACCACCACAAGTTATACAGTGACAATACCTTGATCCCCAGAAGCGGAATTATTGGACCAAAAAGGAGAATAAATTTTTAAATATCAGCAAAGCTAATGGAAATGCCTGATGGTGTTGATTTTCCTTTACTTGCAAATAAATATGACCTCTTAAAAGAGAGCATCTAGCAGATTGGCTCAAGGGGCATGTAAACAGAACGGTGGGTCAGCTTCACTACCACAGCCTCGGCTCATGCCTGCCTGTGTTTTGACCACCACATGTATCCTCTACCTCAGCCTTGATAAACAACACCCCTTGAATCTGTTCATCTGAATCTGTTACAGGTGAAGCCTTCTAATTACTCCCTTCTCACCCCACCCCCTCCCCCAGCCCACTGGGCAGTCGCTAGCTTCTGCCACGGGGCACTGACTTCAGAGGCTTAATGGTCTGTGACCCTGCACTCCGAGTGATGGGGTGTAGACTGAAGGACATCGGAACAGGAGCACATGCACGAGGCCTAAGCCAGGAGCTGAGCTCCTCTCCAGAGGAGACTGTGCCCTTGTGCTGACTTCTCTCCTCCTCTCTCATTTAACTCCCTGGTCCTCCATAGGAGAAGCCCCTAAGGAGCTGTGTTCTACCGAACATTATTGTTTTGCTAATATCCTTACAGTGCAAGTGAGCCCTGAAGATTACGGGACTGAGCTATTGAGACGCTATCACGAAAACCTCTCTGAGATTTTCACAGACAACCAGATGTTATTAAACATGATCCCGCACCTGAAGAGTTTAGCCCCTGGAGAAAGAGAGGTAAGAGAGGGGATGGGGGAGGGGGGTGTAAAATGAGAAAGTAGAGAAAAAGATGAATTTTTTAAAGGTATTTATATTTTATATAAATATACACACACAGCCATGTTGAGAAATGCTAAGGGGTCAGTAGAGGAGAAATAGAAGGTGATTCCGTTCCTGAGGCGGCGTGACAAGTAGGATAGCTGTAATTTCTGCAATAATAGGGAAGGCGCTCAACAGGAGGCATGAAGAACTTCGTTATGTACAGAACCTCTCAGGTAGAGAGAGTGAAGGTGCTGAGAAACTCCTCCCGTAGGCACAGTCCTGGGGCCCAGTGGCCAGGAAGCCCCTCACGCGTGTGTTTGTGCTGCCTCTTGAAGGTCATGGAGACGCTGGTGAAACGTGACTCTGGTTCGGGTGGTTTCAGTTCTTTGATGTCAGCAGTTCTAGAAAAGCAGACTCTCTCCGCGACAGCCGTGTGGCAGCTGCTGCTGCTGGTTCAGGAGACAAAGGCCTGCCCGCTGAGCCCGCTCATGGAGGAAATGCGAAGGGAGCCGGGCGCCGGCGCTTTCTTCCGGGCAGGTAGGACCCGACCTGCTCGTGACCGTCCCCACTAGAAGTTATTGTCAGACAATAGCAGGAGCTCTCTTATGGCAGCTCCACAGCCCTCCCATTAGAAATAAGGACGAGTCATTTTGTTTCAGGATACAAACCTTTTAACATAAAAAGTGCAGTAAGTATTCTAAGCTTATATTAGGAATTATACTCTGAGTGCCATTTGCCTTGCCCACCCCCAGCTAGGAGACCAGTGACGTGTATTCTCATTATGAAGAGTTGAGTTGAGAAAAGGTGAAGAGAATTCCAGAGCCCAGAACGGTGCTCATCGTTTACTAATGGTTCTCAACCCCCTTTCTTCCAGTGACCACCCCGGAAAGTGCTGCCTTAGGAACCATCCTGAGGCACCGCACGGTGATCCTGGAGGCCATCCAGCACACGCTTGAACTCAAGGGCTTGACCTCAGAGGAAGAGCGCCTGGCGGAGGCTGTGAAAGAGGTGTGGGAATTAAAAACACGCTGTTCGGAGAGTCAGTGCCTGGGACTGCCTCACTCCTGGGGAGGAACCAACTTCTGCAGAGTGCCTGCTGTGTGCCGAGCCTCTGCCAGTCACACCTCGTCTGCTCTACGTGGGAGATGATGTCATCCCCAGTCGACAGATAAGGGAACTGAGGCTCCCAGGGTTCAGTACCTTGTCTAGGTTGCTCCAGCTGCTCAGACGAAGCAGAGTGCAAACCAGGTTCACGTGACAAACCTACTAGATTTATTCCATTTGTTTAAACCTCGGCAAACTCCAAGGGAGCCATGATACTGCTCTCTAACATGTTTTAAGAAGCAACTTCTTTTAGAGCAGCGGTTCTCAACCTGTGGGTCACGACCCCTTTGGCGGTCGAACGACCCTTTCACAGGGGTCGCCTAAGACCATCCTGCATATCAGATATTTACATTACGATTCAAAACAGTAGCAACATTACAGTTAGGAAGTACCAACGAAAATAATTTTATGGTTGAGTCACAACATGAGGAACTGTATTTAAAGGGCCAGAAGGTTGAGAACCACTGTGTTAGAGGAAGGAAACTTAAATGGTCTTATGTGCTCCATTCTGGTTTCTAGAAAGAGCCAAGATACACATAGATAGAACAAAGCTTTTGCCCATATGGGGTAGCAAATAGTGCCAACTCATTTTCTGTAAGGCTTCTCACAGTGTGGCCAGCATCCCAGAAAAACCAGGTGGGACTGGGGGAGAATTCGTGGGTGTCCAGCCCAGGATCAGGTGTATCTGGAGTGTGAAGACTTAGAAAGGAACAACATTAAACACAAGTTCACCGTAGTGCCTTTTGATCCACGTGGGCATGGAGGTGTGCAGAGGGCTGGTTCTCACTGTCCACACAGGTGCCCGCCCCACCTAGTCTGACTCTCAAGGGGAGGAAGGTGGCACACGTTTCTGTGGGCTTCAGAGGGAAGGTCCGTCTGTTAGACTCTCCCGGCGCCACACACTTCAGAGACGGGGCTTCTGCAGCTGATCAGTTGAGTCTCACTAATGAGTCTCCTGCCTGCCTCCAGGGACAGCAGGCTTATTTAGAGAGACTTGAAAAGAGCAGAAATAAAATATCTTCCAAAATGAAAATTCCGTTTGGCCATCTGTGGATGGTTTTGCTTTATTTCCTCAGTGTACGACTCTGCTGATAGCTCTCACATTCTGAAAGAGGATGGCTTTGAAAGAATGGTCTTAGCCTCTTTAAAGCCCCTTTCTTTAGAAAGCCGAGTTTCTTTATGAAAGAAAATGATTTTTAAAAGGGTGCATCTAAGTATCTAAAGATGTAAAGCCACTGATCATGCAGAATTACTTCCAGATATTGAAACAATTATATATTATGAAAAATCATTTTGATCTTCAAGGCAGAAACACTAACAACCAAACCCTACAGTTGTCCAGTCTTTTAATATTAGAGCTTGAGAAGTTTTTTGTGAGATGCCTGATTGCTGAGAGGGTATTTCTCATAGCACATGCTTCCTGCTTCCTGGCTGCACCTTTTGTATCTGCACATTTGCCTTCCAGGTGCCTCCCTTTTTCACTTGTTAATTTCCATGTTTTTTGGAAAACAGGGCTCTCCACTACATTTATCACAGGCATTGTAAGCTTGTTATAGATGGAGCAATGCCTTCCTGAAATTAGCTTTTATCTTTTTTAAGTTGCAAACCATGTAGAAAATCTGTTGATACTAACCGCAAACCTTCGTCTCGTGTGTTTATTTAGATTCTGAGCATCCCCTCTGAGACAGCCAGCCCTGAAGCTTCCCTGCGAGCAGTGCTGAGCAGAGCCACAGAGAAGTTGGTGTCGGCCACTGAGATGTGTCAGCTCCTATGCAGCGCCCGCCGCTGCTCCCCAGGCCTGCAACCTGTCGTGCAGGAGTTAGCACACACTGGTGAGGAATGGTGGGTGGGTGGGGTCCTGTCAGGCCCCCAGGGGTTTCCGTATTGGAGAGAAGAGGCAGCAGTTCATATGAGAGTTCATCCATAGCCACCTTATTTACTTACTAGAGGCCTGGTGCACGAAATTCGTGCACAGGGGGTGGAGGGTGTCCCTCAGCCTGGCCTGCACCCTCTCCAATCTGGGACCCCTTGGCAGATGTCCAACTGCCAGCAGTCAGACATCCCTCTCACAATCTGGGACTGCTGGCTCCTTACTGCTCGCCTGCCTGCCTGCCTGATTGCTCCCTAACCACTCCCCTCGCCTGCCTGCCTGCCTGATTGCTCCCTAACCACTCCCCTGCTGGCCCGATTGATGCCTAACTGCTTCCCCACAGGCCTAATCACCCCCAACTGCCCTCCCCTGCTGGCCTGGTCGCACCCAACTGCCCTCTCCCTGCTGGCCTGGTCACCCCTAACTGCCCTCCCCTGCAGGCCTGGTCTCCCCCAACTGCCCTCCCCTGCAGGCCCAGTTGCCTCCAACTGCCCTCCCCTGCAGGCCCAGTTGCCTCCAACTACCCTCCCCTGCCAGCCTGATCACTCCCAACTGCCCTCCCCCTGCCGGCCTGATTGCCCACAACTGCCCTCCCCTGCTGTCCATCTTGTGGTGGCCATCTTGTGGCAGCATCGCGCGAGGGCATGACGCCACCCAGGCTTTTATTATATGGGATTTTACATGCTCTCGGTACTTAGAAAAAAGTCATAGACATAGATGCAAAGTGATACTCTGTGCTAATCAAGTAAAGATGATATTGCTTCAGTTTTCTGAGGATATCAAGTAGTCTGCATTCTCCTCTAAGAAGGAAAGTTAGGGAGCAAAGGAGAAACTTAGAGCCACAAGATTTCTCTCCTATGCAGGTTTCCTTACTCAGGAAAATGGAGAGAAGGACAGGTGGAAGGTGAGTAATAAATTTCACCTGGAAGCCAACAACAAAGCTGATGCAAAGGCAGCTGAGCCCATTGAAGAAGACTGCCAGTCCCGGAAGCAGAACAACCAAGGGGAGGCTCGTTCCTTGCCAGAACAAGAGAAAGATACTTCTGCCTCCCCTGACTCTGCCAAGAAGAGCTTTGTGTGTAAGGCCTGTGACAAGAGCTTCCATTTCTACTGCCGCCTGAAGGTGCACATGAAGCGCTGCCGGGTGGCCAAGAGCAAGCAGGTGCAGTGTAAGGAGTGTAATGAGACCAAGGATTCTAAGAAAGAGCTGGAGAAGCATCAGCTGGAGGCCCATGGTGCAGGGGGAGAGGCTGACGTCCCCAAGAAGAAGAAGAAGAGGCTTCCAGTGACCTGTGACCTCTGTGGCAGAGAATTTGCTCATGCCTCAGGTACGTTCAGGAGGGCGAAGTAACTGGGCATGAGCATTCTGGATGCTGTGGTTTGGACTCCAGGCCTGGCTCCCGGTTGTATGCATTCAGGGCCGGGGATGGGCTTAGAAAACAGCAGGTCCCTACAGAGGCAGGTGGTGTTTCGAGAAGAGCATGAGCTTTGGAATCTGTTCTCTGAACTTTAATTTCCCCATCAGTAGGCAACCTGATTCCACCTACTTTTTTAGATTGTTATGAAGATTTAAGATAATGTAGCCAAACACCTAGTACAGTACCTACATTTAAGTTAATACTCAGTAAATTGTGGGTGTTATTCATAATGATAACCAACTATTTTAACACCTGACTCTTAGGCTTCTATGCATCACTTGAATCTCGATAATAAAAAAGAGAAACCATGGGGACATAGTGAGAATTGTTTTCCCTTGCCCCAGATGTTGGGTAAACCTAATGAAACATAACCATGAGTTTTGTTTCACTCTTTCTGGGTGACTGGGTCCTGTTTAAGAGGAGAAAGAGGTTAGGAAAGAAAAACCTAGGACCCTTCATGCCTGATTGAACCATGAGTGGGACTGAGGTGACTTTTGGAGTGCTGTGCAGATGGGCAGCATGGCCGTGTGAGGTCAAAGCACATATAACCTGGCGTCCGTGGTTCATGCTGGGCTTCCTCATGAGTCCTGGCCCGGGGCATGTTGGGGTGTACCTGACACTGGATACGAGGTAGCATCATGGCACAATGACTGGTATCTCTCCGGTCCCTGGCCGGCCTCCCCAGGCATGCAGTACCACAAGCTGACCGAGCACTTTGACGAGAAGCCTTTCTCCTGCGAAGAGTGTGGGGCAAAGTTTGCAGCCAATTCTACCCTGAAGAACCACCTCCGCCTCCACACTGGGGACCGCCCGTTCATGTGCAAGCACTGCCTCATGACCTTCACCCAGGCCTCGGCCCTGGCCTACCACACCAAGAAGAAGCACTCAGAAGGTAAGGCATGGGGAATTTTTTGTTTTTTTATGTTTTTATTGATTTCAGGGAAAAGAAGGGAGAGGGAGAGAGGGATAGAAACATCAATGATGAGAGGGAATCGTTGATCAGCTGCCTCCTGCACACCCCACATGGGGATTAAGCCACAACCCAGGCACGTGCCCTGACTGGGAATCGAACTGTGACCTCCTGGTTCATAGGTCGCTGCTTAACCACTGAGCCACACTGTCTGGGCAAGAATTTCTTCATTTCTCCTGACACTTTAATTGTGTGAGCTGTCTGAAAACCCACTTGGAATTAGGAAGGCTCTATATCTCAAGAAGATTAAAAACAGAACAGAATGTAAAATCTCTAGGCACACAGAGGACTAGGAACACATGTGCGCAGACATGTAAATGCTCTGGTGAGTGATTCTGAGGGGAGGCTGACTAACGCAGTGCTATGACTTTATAGTCAATAGAATTTACATAAAGCCAGGAATTCCCTGGACTTTAAGGTGGACTTGGAGCATGGGACAGGCCTTAGTTGAACACCTACTGTGGATCGGGCAGTGGCGGACGCTGAGTGACTAAGCTGGATCCTGTGCTCACAGAGCTGGTGGCTCAGCGTGTGTCTAGTGTAGAGAGAGTGACAGTGCAGTCACCGGTGGTGTGATACCCAACAATACCCGGAGATATGGGAGGAGAACGGAGGGGTTTCTGGTCTGGTTGGAGGGGAGGAGCCTTCTCCAAGGATTCTGCATAGTTTGGAGCATTTATATGGAAGTGCTAATGCTGCCTGCATCTTGCCTGGATTGCCGTAGCCTCCTAACCGCTCTCTTCCCCCCCCCCCCACCCCCCCTGGCCAGTGCTCTCAGTACACAGGCAGGGTGGTCCTTCTGAAACTAAACCATATCCTGTCTCTCTCTGCTCAAAACTCCAAGAAGGCTCTTCACCTCACTTCTCCTGACCACCTGTGTGGAATCTCAGGGACCCAGCCCAGTTCCCGAGTTATTTTTCTCCATGGTGCTGTCATATGATATATTATCTACCTTAGTCATTGTTTAGAGTTAGTCTGCCCCGTTAGAATGAAAGCTTTATGAGGGCAGAGCTGTTAGTCTTTTTGTTTCATTGCTTAGCGATGGAAGGCGCTCAGTAAACACTTACTGAGTAAATTAATTTCTTGAGCCCTGCTGCAGGCCCTGGGGACAGTGTAACTGTATACTCTGCTCTTGGTAAAGCAGACCATAAACAAATAAGTGTGTAATATAAATTCAGGTAGTGGTCATTGTGTGAAGAGAAATAAGGCAGGGTAACCAGCAAGAGGACGGGGAGGGGCCTGTTTATTTAATCAGAAAAGGCCTCTGAGAGCTGAGAATTGAGTAGAAACCTGAATGAAGTGAGAGATGGAACCAGCAGAAGCTTGAGGAGAAAAGCATCCCACGCAGGAATGAGCTGAGCTGTTTGAGAGACCAAAGGAACGAGAAGGGGCTGAAGCAGAATAAACGAGTGAGTGCTGAGAGATGCGGTCAGAGAGGTCGCCAAAGGCCAACCTTGCAGGGTCTTATACACCAAGGTAAGGGCTTTGGTTTTATGCAAACTGTGTATTACAGACAGTGGCTTAAAACAACAAGAATGTATCATCTTACCGCTTTGGAGGTTAAAAGTCCAAAATGGGTCTTACAAGGCTAACATTTGTCAGAGTGAGAAAATAGAGAAGCCAGGTGACTTACAACTATAGCAAGTCATTGGGAGAAGCTTTGAGTCTCACCTTTATGTGCTGCTGCAGTTCCATACTGAATACGTTCAGGGGGTCCAGACTTGGGGGTTTCTGGACACCCGGATATATCTGTTTCCTGCATGTGGAATGAGCTCTGCCGTATTGGTGGTGGCCTGGTTAAAAGATGGGTAATCTGTGTGATGAGAGCTCTGTCCTTGTTCCTCAGCGGGGAGACCACACTGATACCCACTGTTTATCAGCTGTGTTTATGAGGCATCCTCTGATGGGATGCTCAGGCTCTCACCCATCGTATTGCAAATTGCCTCGTGTTTAGTGCCGGCTCTAATAAACGCATGTGTATTTCCAGGAAAAATGTACGCGTGCCAGTACTGTGATGCTGTGTTTGCCCAGTCCATCGAGCTGTCCCGCCATGTGAGGACCCACACCGGGGACAAGCCCTATGTCTGCAGGGACTGTGGCAAGGGCTTCCGGCAGGCCAATGGCCTCTCCATCCACCTGCACACCTTTCACAGTATGTACTGAGACTGTGACTGACGGGCATTCAGCACAGACCTGGCCTTGAGAAGACATTTGACAATCATAACAGAATTGTCACTCTACCAGAGCTGGGCCCCAATCAAGGCCCCAGACATGTGACAGTCATAACAAATTATCACTCTGCCAGAGCTGGGCCCCACTCTGGGTCGTTACCTACTTCAGCCATTTCCTGCTTGTGCCGCCCGCACTCTCTAAGCCGTGACTTCCCTCCTTTGTAGAATAGGACTGAGACTAGAACCTACTCACAGGGCTGTTGGAAGGATTAGGTGGTTAACATATACAAGGCACTGAGAACGTGCCTGTCACACTGTGTCATTAAACATTACCTATGAAAGTGTTTTTATTATCGAGTCTAAAATGGGGAGCAAGGGAGCATTCCTCCTGTCATTCATACGACTGACAGCAAAGGAAATAGTGATGCTCTGGGGAGTATGTCGGAAATCTCTAGGGAGAGGTAGAAAACAGAAATGCCCACTACAAGCAGGGGAGAGCAGTACACCCTGGAAAGCAGTAAAACAGACTTTAACTTGTAAGATGTGAAGTGAGGAATTGCGGGAACTGTTTGATGTTGCAGAGATGGTTAATCCAGAAACTGCGGAGGAATCCCACCTCCCGGATGAAGCTAGGATAGTCAGGTGATCACTGTACTGACTTCTGGTCCTTGGAGCCTGTGACCTTGCATGACCTCTAAACAAAGTCTTGTACCTGGAGCTGTGCACGCACGGCCACCCACACCTCACTGACCACTGCCTGTGTTTTTTCCCACCCCTTCCTCTCATGGACGTCCCTCATGGAACCAGACATAGAAGATCCGTATGACTGCAAGAAGTGCAGGATGAGCTTCTCCACTCTGCAGGATCACCGCAAGCACATCCACGAGGTGCACTCCAAGGAGTACCACGCCTGCCCTACATGTGGGAAGATCTTTAGCGCCCCCTCCATGCTGGAGCGCCACATGGTGACCCACGTTGGAGGGAAGCCCTTCAGCTGCGGGATCTGCAACAAGGCCTATCAGGTGACCGCAGGTTCCCTGGGCACTCGTCCCTGTCCCTCGGCTTCTCTCCCCTTGGTCTGGTTTGTGGAGCACATCGTGTCTCCAGGTGGGTCGACTTGGCTGCTTCTCATGAAGATGCAGCTTGTACTAATGCAGATTCTCTAAGGTGATCTGGTGGGAGTAATACGGGAGGTGGCGGGGGAGGCTCTAAATGGAGCCGAGTTCTCACCCTCTGACCTGGGTGCTGCTTCCTCCAGGGCACTCATATTCTTGACTCTGTTGACCCGAGTGGAGGGACATGAGAATGGCAGTCGGGCCTGTAATGCTGCCTAGAAGTATTTTGTTTAGGACAATTATTTTTAATTGAGCCCCAGAGAGAGAGGAGTGTAATGGGTGTAACACCCTCCTTACACTGCTCCCTTCCAGGGAAGGGCTCTGCTTTTTACCTTAGAATTTGGTATGTAATTAAAGGGAAACTCCATAGAGAACCAAAAAGAAACCACACGTATGAAAACCTAAGAGCACAGGGAAGAGAAGGATCCTTGCTGGCATGTGTAAGATGTAGGTTATGGAGAGAAGCCCAGCGGCTCATTGCAGTTCCACAGAGATTGGGATGTTGACTTTGTACCAAGCCTTGTGCTGGGACATTACAGTGCAGAGCTGAGGAAGGCCTGGGCTTGGTCCCTAGGAAACCGTGGGATTGTGGGGAGAGTCCCGGTGCTGCTCCGAACCCAGGAAGGAGGGGTCCCCTGCACCTGGGCACCGGGCAGCAGTGAGACACGGCTCAGTGGGGAAGAACAGACACCAGGATTTGAATCTTGCTCCTGATACTTACTAATCGTGTGACCCTGGGCAAGTCATTTGACCCTTCTGTGCCTTAGCCTCCGCCTCACAGAAAAGATTCTAACTCCTCCCTCATGGGCTTGTTGTGAGGAGTGAGTGTCCTGCTGAGCCTGCCCCGGCGTGGCCTCTCAGGACACATGCAGGTGCCTCTTCCCACAACACTAGCCTCTGTCAGGTCAGCACTCGATGGCAGGGAAGAGTGGAAGTCCAGACCCACCGCTGACCTGAGAGCCGTTTCCCTCTCGCATGAGGGCTTTATGAGCTCTCCGCTTGCTGGAACATCCTGAAACTGAACACTTGCCACATTCCTTGCAGCAATTGTCTGGTCTGTGGTACCACAATCGGACCCACCACCCTGACGTGTTTGCTGCTCAGAACCATCGATCTTCTAAGTTCTCATCACTCCAGTGCAGCTCGTGTGACAAAACCTTTTCCAACACCATTGAACACAAGAAGCACATCAAAACAGAGCACGCAGGTGAGCGGTGCCAGAGGTGGGGAGCAGAGAGGCTTAGGGATGTGGATCCTGGGTTTACCCCGAACCCCACCTCAGGGCTAGAGTAGGGTGCGATGGTAATGACCTTCGTTCTCCTAGCACCCCTGAAGGATGCCTCCCTGGTGCCCAGTAATAGCAGCTTGAGTGGCAGTAGTTCTCCAACCCAGAGATGGAGGGCAGTGTAAGCTGCTACCAGCCCAAGTCACACTCAGCCACAGCACACGGCAAGGGCGGCTCTGGTGCAGACAGGCCTGGGGGGCAATCCTGACCAGCACTGTTCAGCTTGCATGCCCTTGTCAGGCGACTTCTCCTTTCTGAGCCTGCTTCCTTTTCTTCAGAATGCCCGTAATTAATACCCACCTTGCAGGTGAATTTGGGGATAATCACAACAGCCAGCAGTTATGAAGCATTTCCTATGTGCAAGGCACTATGCTAAGCACTCCACGTGTATTTTGTCCTTTAATCCTCACAACCACCTGCGTCCAGGCTGTCTGGACCCAAATCTGGCGTCTTCACCACTAGAGTGCATGATATGTCATAGGTGGAAGGTTCTTGGCACTTGGTAGATGCCTGCTCGGTGTTAGGCGTCACCCCCGCCCCAGCCCTGTCACTGTCCAGCCATAGGGAGCCATCCTTTTGTTCTTCCCTGTGTGCTTCGCAGATATGAAGTTCCATGAATGTGACCAGTGTAAGGAGATCTTCCCCACGCCAGCTTTGCTCCAAGTTCACATCAAGTGCCAGCACTCAGGTCAGTGCCCTGGGGATGCGGTTGAGCCTCTCCACTGTTCACAGCTGTGCAACCCAGGCCAAGTAGCCTCGCTACCTGTGCCTCAGTTTCCTCACCCGTAAAACGGGGACAGGTGTATTCCTACCTCATCAGGTAACTGTAAGGATTGAATATGCCAGTAGACAAAATACACATAGGGGCCTGGCACCAGTCAGCATCCCGTAAGCATGACCTGTGATTGTCCTTGTTACTGCTATGTCTCATCAAATCTAAAATGCCAGTTTAACATGCACGCTTTAAAAAGAATGAACCATTAAGAAAGAAAAGCAGCTGCTAATTAAACTCTGCTTCCTTGTCACTTAGAACTTACAGGTTATTCTAAGTGCTGTTTTGGACTTAATTTGACATAGATTTTTATGCATTCTTATGTGTATATATAAAAAGGGAAACAGAAGAAGTAAATTAAGGTCAGATTCCAGCTTCTCAGAGTAGCTTTCAACTCAGATTGTTGACGTGCGTGTTATTCCGCATGGTGGTAAACTGCCATCGGGAGTGCTGGGTGGAGCACGTAGTGAGGCCTCTGGCAATGGTCTGTTGAGCACCATGGGAAACTGGTTTATTTTTCATTCCCGCTTAGGGGATGTCTGAGAACTCACCCCTCGCCTCCTCTCTCTAAGCCTTTGGGTTCCAGTCAGTGAAAGACATGCACTGCTCCTGTCTATGTAGGTCCTGGTGCTGGACTTCATCCGGTTTCGATGTTCTTTCTGCAGTCGTTGACAGTGACACCGACTGCCATCGCACCCGTAGTGTCGTTAAATGCCATTGAGTCCGTTTCAGAGATGTTCATACATGCTTCCTAGAATTGATGACATACAGTGTCGGCAGCACCTTCCCTGCCGCGGAGTGAACAGCGGGCATCCGCAGAGGCGGTTTAGCCTGAACCCAGGCTACTGAAGCTGTGGTTCACAGAGGCTTCAGGCCCACAGAACCCGGGTCTGCCTTTGAGCATGTTCCTCACTGCTCCTTCCTCTCCCTGCCCTTGTCTCTCGGCCATTTCACCCACAGCTCATCCTTGTCTCCTGCCTCCAGGGTCGCAGCCATTCAGGTGCTTGTACTGTGCAGCCACCTTCCGCTTCCCCGGAGCGCTGCAGCACCACGTCACCACGGAGCACTTCAAGCAGTCGGAGAGCACCTTCCCCTGTGAGCTCTGTGGGGAACTCTTCACCTCCCAGGCCCAGCTGGAGGGTCACCTGGAATCTGAGCACCCAAAGGTGACGGGCACTGAGACCCAGGCAGCAGCCTCGCAGGTGGTGCAGGTGACTCAGACACGGGGGTGCTAGCATGGGGTTCCTAAGGCTTCTCTAGGGGTCTCTCCCTCTCAACACCCAGCCTCTCTCTCTGGGGCTCTCAGAGGTCCTGTAAGCGATACAGGTCCTGTCAGAGTCTCTCTGGACTTCTTGCCAAACAGAACAGAAAGTTCTAGTGTCCTGGTGGCCACGTGCGAGATGCCCCTAAGTAGCAGGAGCCGAGAACAAGAATTTCCAAAAGCGGAACCACCTAGGCCAGTGATGGCGAACCTTTTGAGCTTGGCGTGTCCACATTTTGAAAAACCCTAACTTAACTTTGGTGCCGTGTCACATATAGAATTTTTTTGATATTTGCAACCATAGTAAAACAAAGACTTATATTTTTGATATTTATTTTATGTATTTAAATGCCATTTAACAAAGAAAAATCAACCAAAAAAATGAGTTCGCGTGTCACCCCTGACAAGCGTGTCATAGGTTCGCCATCACTGACCTAGGCGGCTCTCCCGATTCACACGCACTTCCCGCCTCCTGGGAGGCACCGTGGGATGTGGTGAGAGCTGCAGGAGCCTCGAGAGGTGGAGAGCTCTTTGTTGGGAGCTCCTTCACCCTGAGAGCTCCTCTGGCTGGCGCAGACACACGTGGGCACATGGGCCTTTCGCCTTTACCGGGTGGGAAGCACCTCCTAATATGTGTTGAGGCCAAGCTTGCTCCCGCCCCCTTTCATTGTTCTTCCCGTCTTCTTTAAGAGGTGGGCAGAAAGGAAAGCAGCTCCCCTCTGAGTACCGGCAGGAATTTGTGGGGGGACTGGAGAGGAGCTGCAGGCTGATGGCACAGCCGTCCAGCCTCCTGGGCATCATCTGTGAGCCGTGTTCTACAGCCTCCAGGGTGCAAGGGCAAGGCAAGGGGCAGGCCTCTGGGTGACTCTCTTGCCTTATTCCAGAGGGCTCTGCTCTTAGTGTGCTCACCTGTTCGGGTTCTTGGTAAGATGGCCTTTGGGAAGAGTCCATTGCTAAGAGAAAAAGAAAGAACACACGGCTTGAAAACTACTCTCTGGATGATTTTTGGTTGCACATCACAGTTGGTCTCTCCACTTCCAGCAGCACAGAGACGTGGCTGAGCTGGGCTACCCCACAGCTGCCCACTTTTATCTAGTGCTCTGCTCCCCACTCTAGGCTTGTTCTCGAGAGCCATGGTACCCGTGCCCCGTGGGCACTCTGGCTTAAAATAGCAGGGACATCAGGCTCTCCTGAGCTCCACAGTTTAAGTCATCAACCTGGAGGTCCCAGCAGGAACTGGGTGTACTTAGCACAGACTAGTTCTCCCTGTGACAGGAAGGCCGTCTTTAACAGATGCCAACGTGGAAGGGGTATGTGGCTTGTGGAGGGTGCGAAGGTGCCTGCCCTGCCAGCCTGGTGAGCCAAATGAGTGAGTTGACAGAAGCCACACTTCATCCACTCGCCCTGTAGCCATGGAGCCACGGGAGGCTCTTAGCCTGATCAGGTCCAGAAACACCACTGTCGGCAAATCATTCCAGTGTCCGTGGTTCTAGCATGAAGCTGACACCTTCGTAGCATTCCTTTCGCATGGCTCTTACTCTGCAGTGTAATCGTCAAGACGGGAAGGCCCAGTGTGAGAAGCCGAGCTGGTGTGTAATCAGAGTCCGGGCCCTGAGATGGCATACTGAGCTAAATTATAGCAATTTAACACACGGTTATTTAAATTGTTTGCCTGCCTCTCTTTTGCATCACTGGTGTGTAAGATTTGCCTCTTCGCATTAGGCACGTGTAATTGCTCTCCTCAGGTGAAAACATAAATATCATCATTACAGCTGAGATGGAAACCATGTAAATTCTGGGGAGCTAACTGTGGACCCTGCCCAGAGCCTCATGGTCTTTTCCTTTCAGGTGATCCAAACCCCGGAGCCGGCCGCCGCAGCAGAGCAGGTGATCACTTTGGAGGAGACCCAGCTTGCTGGATCGCAGGTGTTTGTGACGTTGCCGGACTCGCAGACGTCTCAGACCAGCTCTGAGCTCGTGGCGGTGACCGTGGAGGATCTGCTGGACGGGACCGTGACCCTGATCTGTGGTGAGGCCAAATGAGTGGCTGCTCATCGGTGAAGGGGGCCTGCACTTGCAGCAGAGAGAAAGCTCCACGGCGGGCCCTTTGCCCTCTGTCCCTGGCTGTCCTGCGTGATGAGCATCTTAGCCCAGCACCAACCAAAGTGTTCTCACTTGGAAAATAGATGGAAGAAGTGTCATTGTTCTCATAGAACCAACAGTGCCAACCCACCGCCCTCCCACAGGCTGGCCATGGCCTCCGTGACACTGTCCATCCCTCAGCAGAGCATAGCTTCTGAAATAGAGTTGGAAAGCCATGGGCAGGAGCTGGTGACCAGGTAAGCACAGAGGTGCCAGGAGCCCGCAGCCCTCTGTGCAGAATGGCAGGTGTGGGGCTGCAGGTGCTGTCAGTGCCTTCTGCCCACGTAAGAGTGAGAGAAAAGCACCCACGGACCATCCAGGGGCCCCAGTCTTGAGCACACTTGGCCCCTTCCTCCCATCTCTCATCCCCCCAGCTGCTGGTCATGGACAGGAGCAGCCTGTGAACACAGCAAGGCCTCGTCTACCTGGGACTCCCACCCGGGCAGTGCTGTCAGCCCTTCCGCAAGCGAAGCCTGGGAGAGTTCCTGCTGGACGTGTTCAGTGGAGGCCATCGGCTGCAAAGCCCTCCCTGCCCCTCCGGGATCTTCGCGGTGCTCTGTACTGAAGGCTGAGCCTCGGCCTTCCCCATGGCCCAATCCCCTTCCCTGTCAACGCCTGCCTTCTGCCTGACCTGGAGCCGTGCCCCTCCCTCCGGAGCATGTAATAGAGCTCGCAACCCACGCCAGGTGGAGCAGTGCCCGTGACCGCCCCGGCGCTGCCTCCTGCCACCGTCCTCCACGCTGGGTGTTGGCCTGTTGTCTGCCTCTTCCAGGCTGCCACCGCTTCTGCAGGTCAAGGATCCTTTGGAGTCTGAATCGCACCAGGCTTTTTATCTTCCGTTCCTAACATGTAATCTGATAATTAATGGGTTGTGGAGTCCATTATGAAGTGCAATTAGATGGATATAGGTCCCCGCCATTTGGAGAGAATGACTAGCATTTATCTTCCTTTCCTCCATGCCAGGAGGTTGGTCTGCTAGTGCAGTGTTTACACACAGGCAGGCTCGCTGCCACCTCGGGGCTTGCCCCCCTGCAGAGAGCAGTGCCCAATGTGATCACTGGCCTTCAAGCTCGAGGTGGCAGAAGACTAGCCCGCCCCTTTCCAAGCACATTTCACATCGCCAGGGGCAAGCAGGGATAAAGAGTCCACGCTGGTCACGGGACAGGCTTTTATCGCCACCACACACTGCTGGAAAGGCAGAGGTGGGCCCTTAACACTGACCAGTATGTTCGTGGGCCAGGGCCTGTGCAGGCAGTGAGCTCCTGTCTGGGCCCTCCACCCATAATCCTGCCTCCAGGGTGTCCTCCTTGTGATATGCAAATCGCTGGAGCTGGTCAGCTCAAGGGTCTTCATTCTGAAGTCAATGATGTTTTCAAAGGCAAGTCGGCCTCAGAAGCCAAAAACTGACCAGAAGATGGTGCTCAAACCTTTGAGACTTCGCCTCCACGTGAAACCTTCACAGCTTCTGCCAAGCCTGTCTGTCTCCTTAAGGTTTTCACCTGTGAGCTGTCAGCCCGGGAGAGCTCTCCATCTGCAAGTGGCGAAATGGCACTGACTCCCGCTGACACCAGATAAACCCACTGAAAGAGTGGAGTGGCCTGTGCTTACAGCGCCTGAGGCCCAGCCCAGCGATGAGGACACAGCTCCTCAGAGCCACAGGCTGCGGCTGGGAGCTGCGTGTCCTCAGGACATCTTCCAGCCAAAACACAAATGAATGAAAAGGAATTGCCGAGGGCCTGCAGGAGAGAGTGGTTTCTCCTTTTAAACAGTCTTCCGCATAAAAAAGGTGCATGTTTTAAACCCAGTTCGGATCCTTTCCGGTGCTGAGAACCTCTTTCTTAATTTCTGATGGAGCCGGGCTGTGGCAGGACATGTTTTCTCCCGTCACCAGCCCAGGTCGCCGTGCTGGGAGCTACACGGAAGCCAGACTGACTGCTGCTGTCAGACTCACCAGGGCACCCGCGTCGGCACGGCCTTGTGCTCATTCTCGTGGGTCTGAGGAAGGGCCATCCTGGGTTTAGTCTCTGCTCCGAGGGGACCTTTGCAACATGCGGCATTGGCAGTGACCTTACACTCTCCCTCTCTGGAGATGCCCAGGTGTGATTTTATTGTAGAAAAAATTTTCTAGCTCTAGCTGGCCATTTTATTCTTTCCCCCACTTCTGCCAGAGAGACCTTCTGAGTTACTGCCACAGAGGACACTGTTATCGTGGCCTCGTCCAGCTCACCGACTTGCTTCATGGCAGTGGTCTTCTCTGCCTCGTTGCTGTGGGTGCTGCCTGTGGCCTCCGGCTGAACGCGGGGCATTTGCGGTGGTCTGGAGGAGTCCATGGCTCCCGGAGCTCCTGAGACGCTGGTGAGGAGGGACAGGCAGGCAGGCTGCGAGCGGGAGTCTAATTCGGTGGGAGTGATGGGAGCCACTTAGGGACAGGACTTACCATCCAGGTAAGTGAGAAGCGTGTAGATGGTTCAGGAGTAGGATGGCCGTAGGGAGATGTCCCGCCCCTGAGCAGAGCCTGAGGCCAGAGGGGCAGCACAGGGGCAAAGAAGGTGTTTCCTCATCTGTTTTTTAAAGCCCATCTCCTGTCTCAGAAAACTGAGGCCATGTCTTCATGGTCTGCAGTGTGAGTCCTGGGGTCCCTGGAGATTGCAGCCCTCTCTGGGGTTGCTTCAGACTCTCCTCCTGCTGACAGTGGAACACATCAGCCTCGCCCCAGGGAGGGCCCGCGAGGGGCTGAGGATGAATGGGAGACCAGCCCCGTTCTCTGCGCCTGGGCTAGTGAGGAACTCTCCCAGGTCGAGATGAGGCGGCCCTAAGAGTTCCTCTCTCACCCGGGTAATGTGGCACCACAGGCTGGTGGCAGACTAATGAGGTGGGAGGGATGTGCCTTTAAATCTGATGTGACCAAGGATGGAGGAAACTGCTCACCTTACATTGAGTGGTTCTTACAAGCAATGTTCCTATGACACTGGAGCAAGGAAGCTGGACAGTGATGGAGAAAATGCTGGCATGTTTTCATCAGTCCTCCCCAAAGAATGCAGCAGCCAGGCCTGCTCTGTGTGGCCCAGTGCATCCCAGGGACCTTGGGCAGTAGGAGAAAAAGGAGGACTTGGGGTTGAAGGGAGTGTGAAGGCAAGTTGGTAACTGTTTTGGTTGCCATGGAAAACCTTAGGACTGGTAGGACTTGGGCCAAAGGCTCAGAAGCACAGTCAGAACTCAGAAACTTCTACACCATCGACAGCCTATACGCACAGAAACTACCTGTGCTTTGGTGATGACGTGTTGAGGAGAAATGTATCCCCCGGGCTAATGTAATTTAGGGGCTTCCAAATCACAGAAATGTTTGTCGTCTCCCTCCCCAGGCCAGCCCCACCCATGGTCAGGACAGCTAAGCAGCATGTGATGCTGTATGAATAGGATTACAAACATTCATGCTCACCTTGCACTAGTCTATAAAAATAAAATATGTACCTTGAAAAACGTGATGCTATAGATGATTTCTGTGGCTCTGGGCAGCTGTCGAACAGGCTGGATGGGCCTGGCCTCCTAGGGGCTGGGTGCGCCTTCAGGCCATGCCAGCGGAGGTGGGTGGGGCGCGCTCGCCTGCCCTGTGGAGTCTCCTTTCCCAAACGCTCTTTCCCAGGAGCCAGTGTGGTGCGGGGTCAGACCTGGCTCATCCCGCTGTGCCACGTGCTGACCGTGTGACTGGCGAGGCCCCTCTGAGCTCCCTCTGGCTTCATCTGTAAATGGGAGATTATTATATCTACCCCACAGACTCGTCGTGTGGTTAAAAGCCTGGACTTAATGAATTTAGTGTTGGAAATGGTAGTTGTTATTAATCACGTCCTTCCCACAGGCCAGCCATTCCCTGCAGTTTCTAGCACCGAGGAGTGTTGGTTCCTTCACGCTTACGTGTCTCTTCCAATCTCTGCGCATCCTGAGGGATCCTTGTAACACCCACCACTTCTCATTTATCTCTGGAATCTCAGCTGCCCCTGAAGCATAAAGGGCTGAGCAGATAACTATGAAATAAGCAGAAACCTTTTGTGGTGAAAGCTGGAAATGTCACGTTGCTGGCAGCCAACAAGGAAACGAGAGGCAGACGCGGAGGCTGTGGTGGTCTCTGCAGTTAGATCCAGGTGTGAGGCCAGGGGCAGGGTCTGGCCTGCAGCCCCAGCTCAGGCCAGCATTGCCCACCCCACACGGGGTGGGGGGGGGGGGTGCGGAGAAGAGGGAGTCTCCTGGAGTAGCCCGCCTCAATGCACTTGCTCAGAGCCCATGGTGCCTTGAGAAGGAATGCCCTCCCCTAAGCAGTATTGGGAGAGGGGCTGGCGCTGTGGTTTCTAGACTGTAATCCTGAGAGCGGCCGAGGAGCGGGGAATTGCAGCGTGCAGCTGGCTCCAGCGTGAAGGTGACCGCAGAGGGGAAGCCAGGAGGACTGAGCAGAGGTGGGAAATGGGCCGGCGGGTCCCGGGTGATCCGGTCACCTCAGGCCTGGACTCCGAGCTCCCCAGCCCACCTCTGACTAGGCGAGGACCTTGGGCGAGTCGCTCCTCACCGTGATGGCGAGGAGGAAGGTCGGCATTTGTGAAATGCCCACCGGAGCATAGGTGCCCCGTACAGGATGCCTGTCCACCTCCAGGTACTTTCCAATGGCCTGGGAGGGAGGCCGGCAGGAGGAGGAAGCCTCACTCCCTGAGGCTGAGGGCCTGGACGAGCCGCAGGGGCGTTCGAGACCCAGGCAAGCGAACAGCTCTGTGTCCCAGGCCAGAACTAATGGGCGCGAGGGGGTTGGCGCAGGGACCCAGCCCCGGGCACCACCGTTGAGGGGCCATGTGTGCGTGAGCACAGACTCAGTGTCAGGCGGGGACACACCCAGCCAGGGCACGGGAAACGGAGTCCTGAGTGCGGATGGCCTCTGGCCTTGCCGCCGGAGCGTCCCATTCACTGTTTCTCGTACCCGCCGTGAGCTTGCATTCGGGATGCGTGTGGTGTGCAAAGTAACTTGTCTGAGGCCAAGAGCCATCACCTTGGTTAGGAAATGACCGAGGACCGAGGCATCACTGGGACATGGGCACAGACAGCAAGCTCCTTCCTTCCTGTGCACCTGTGTCTTCTGCCCTGTCACCCAGTGAGCCAGGCCACAGGTCCCCTGTCCACGAAGACACTGTCTCCCCACATACTTGGCCCAGACAGTGCGCTTGGTGCTTAGTAGATGCTGCTGCTCTGCGGGACCACACAGTGCTTCCCTCGCTTACCTTTGTGGCCACTCAGGGAGAACCCAACTTCTCCATCCCGCCCTCTCCGCGCCCCCCCCACCCCCCACCGCCAGCCATACTATCCCCCAAGTCACCCGTGGGCTGGTCTGTCCACCCACCCTCCTCTGTCCTTCTAGGGAGATTAGTGGAAGGCTAGGAGCAGCTAGCGGCCCGGCTCCCGGCTGCTTTGACCAAACACCACTCCTGCTGGCTCTTCCCGCTCTGGTTCCCCTGGCTCGAGCCACAAACAGCTGATCAAACACACAGGACAAGGTCAGTCCAGGGACCCACTGTCGCCTCCAGGGGAGATTTCATAGACCAGCCATCAGGAGGGTCTGATAAGAATGGGCAGGACGTGGGAAAGGGGGCCCATGGGGCCGGCACAGGACCGAACAGCTTTTCATTCCATTTAAGATGGAGACCTCTGTGCTCCACACAGGGTCCAGCCCGGCGCCAGCTTGTCCAGAGGCCAGGGCCAGAGCTGCCTGTGAGCCCGGGACTGAAGGGAAATGAGGAAGGGGTGGCTGTGTCTGTGCGCCTGGAGGAGACGCAGGCGGGCCCCTGCGGGTTTGGGAGCACAGACCCTCCCTCGCTAAACTGTGACTCCTTCAAGGGCGAGAACTGCGCCTTATTCCTTCTGTTCATACATACACGCATGTAGGTAGCCTGGCACATCGGTGTCGTAGACCTGAAGTTCTGGAGGCCTGAGCGCCTACCAGTGCCCAGTCCCATGCCTGGGTCCTGCTCCTGGGGAACTGCTGACCTGTGGCCAGGCCATGGTTACATATGAGAAACAAGAACCAAAAATACCCACGCCGCCCGAGACCTAAAGTACCTATAAATGCTGCGTTTCTCTCTCTCTCTTTTTCATGAGGTATATGTGTGTGTGTTGGGGGGGCGGGGAGGGGCGGGGAATTAATATTTTTTAGAAATATTCTCGCCCAGCCTGCATGGCTCAGTGGTTTAGTGGCAGCCTATGAACCAGGAGGTCACGGTTCGATTCCCTGTCAGGGCACATGCCCAGGTTGCAGACTGGATCCCCAGGGTGGGGTGTGCAGGTGGCAGCCGATCAATGATTCTCTCTCATCATTGATGTGTGTCTCTCTCTCCCTCTCCCTTCCTCTCTGAAATCAATACAAATATATTTTAAAAAAGAAAAGACGTGCTCTCATCATTAATAGTTACTTCATTAAGCACAAGTTGGACACGGACGAAGAGCGCGTGTAATTCTCATCTCACAGCACCATGATGCGGCGCTGTCACTCTCCATCCCCTGCTCCAGGCCAGGAAGCCAGCACCTGGCAAGCCACTGAACTGCATAACCAGTGACAGCACAGCTGGGTGGGAACCCAGGCCGCTGGCTCCAGAGCTTGCTGCTAAACACCGTGCTGTGTCCAAGCATTTCTTAATCCTGCCCATCCTCCCCGTCCTGGCCTGTCAGACCTGGGTGTTGTCATAGGACCTCCGAGTCTCCTGGCCTGCTCTCTCCTCCAGCCCATCCTGCCTGCGACAGCAGCCCAGCCTGAGCTCTGCTTTCATCCGCTGGAAACGTGTCCAGCAGCGCCAAGCATGCCCTGTGCTGTGCTCTGGGACTGGGTTGTCCGTGGCTCAGGCCCGCCCCTCAGTCTCACGGTCCTCAGTGAACACTTGCCGGCTCAGTCGGGGCCCTTCCTTCCTGAAGGACGTGTGGGGCAGCTGAGCCCCACACAGCGCCTGGCACAGGTGTGCGAGGGGGTTCCCCGAGCCAGGCAGCTCTGGGAAGCATCTTGGTCGATCTGACTTCTCCATCTCTCCCCTGTCCCTGGGCTCCTAAAGGAAAAAGGTTTTCTAGAACAGCAACCATTTTATGGGGAAAGTATCAGATCAGAAGACAACATACATTAGTGCAGCGGTTCAGAGCCACTCAGACCTGAGTTCCGATCCCTGCTCTGTCTTGCTAGATGTGTGACTCTAGGATTTATCCACGTGGTGCCCTGGTTTCTGTCCTGACCTGGTCTATTGGGGCCGAGAGGCCGCCCTGGTGGAGCAGGGCTCTCGGGCAGGGGAGCACAGAGAGGAGAGGGAGGACAGCGCGGGGCCCAGGTTGGCCTCCCTCGTTTTGTGCGGTAACGGCAGTCCCGCTGTGTCTTACTCTTGAGTAGCACTCTGCCCCTTTCAGATCACTGTCACCTGCACTACTGATCCTCACAGTCACATGACATTTAGGGCAGTGTCTTCACTGTTGCCCCTTTCAGAGTGAAGGCCTTCAGACGCCCCCTCTGTGGACGCGGGTCCTCAGCTGGGGAGCAGTGGGGTTGCACCCAGCTCTCCGCCAGCAGATGCGGCTGTCGCGCCTCTCCATGCTGTCCCGCCTCTCCATGCTGTCCCACCTCTCCATGCTGTCCTGCCTCTCCATGCTGTCCCACCGCCGTGGTCCCCGTCATTCAGAGCACTTTTTATCGTTGACTTGCTTGACTCTGGCAGCAGTGTTCTGAGGAGAGGAGCGTGAGTTACTATTTTGCAAATGAAAAACCAAGGCTCCAGGAGGCACCATCACTCAGTCAGTCACGCGAGGAGTCAGCAGCAGGCCCAGTCAGAGCCCACGCTCCACGGAGAAGCACAAGGTGGGCCAGGAGGGCTGAGTCCGAGCTGAAGAGCCCACGTCTGTCGTCCACCGTGGGCTGCCCAGTGCTCTGGCCTCGGAGCCTGTCTCCCTCGCTGTTTCCTGAGATGCGGGGTGACAGCACTTGCCTGCCTCTGGATGTCAGAATGGGAGCCATGAGTTCTGGACCGGAAGAGGGCTCAGGAGGCTATTGTTAGCTTCCCGGGCCTGACCCCAGGAAGGCCAGCTGTGGAGTCTGGACTCTGGGGGCACAGGGCACCAGGAGGAGAGAGTCTGTGCAAGGGTCCCACCTCTGACCTGTTGAGGCTGGTGCCTCAGAACTAAGAGGGAGAGTCAAGGCCTGTGTCCTCCAGGTCAGGCCTGGCTGGCTGAGAGACCAAGACCAGAACCCCAGGTTTGTGGGGCTCCTCAACCTGCCACTCAGGAGGCCTGAGGAGAGGGTCCCCTGGATACCTCGGGTGGCCCCCTCTGTTCTGATCAGAAGCTTTTCCACAAGCCTTCCTGGGGCTCGGACCCCGGCTGCCAGGGGGTAGGGGGAGGTGACAAGGCTAAAACGTTCCCAGTGTGAGATCCTGTGAGGCCAGCCAAGCGCACCTACTCAGGGGCCAAACTGACCGCTTC